AACCATGTTTATATACATAGATATATTCGCAATATGAATGACTGTACCAAATTTCCCTAGAAGCACACAACCGGTTTTGCGGTTCTTGCCGATAGTCAGTTATGTGTATCCGGTAATATTTATATTTTCAAAAACCGCCCTCACCCAAGAACACCAAACATGCAAGCAAACTTGCGTCATCTACCGCTGAACATCTGTTGATGTCGAACCCTCGGAAATAAGCTGGTTTGAACCGGGCAGGAACCGCGGACCTCCGTGTGGGAGTGGAACGTGATAACCACTACAACACCGAACCGCCGACTATGGCGTTAAGTTTATTTTACCATGAATCGTCTTTAAAGCTATCTTGGGAGTTAAGTATTTATCTCTTGAAATTTACTCATTGCAATCAGGCTTCACTCGTGTTCTATCTCTCAAACATTAGCTTCCCCCAACCACAACTTAGAGCTAATGAATGGTGCTTGTGCAAAGGCAACCGGAACAAAAAGAATTCTTGATGCATGCAACATCGTACAGCGAAATACAGTGAAGTGAAATTCGCTGATCACTGTCAACCTCACAATGCATGTAAATAAAGTAAGAATTCGTAAGGTGGACAGGAGTGTGCCTGGACCGAGGATGAGAGGGGGGAGAGAAAGTGAGCTTCTATGATCCATACACAGATTGCGTAAAATACTGCGAGGCTAATTTGTGGGATAAGTGGCGGACTAAGCATTATCGGGCACAATCATTAAAGTGAAGTTTTGCGGTTGTCGCAAAACACTTGAAACTTTCTCCAGATTGTAATTATGGGATTTCTTGAGCACGCAGAAGAGTGTATGATTTCTATTTGTTTGTGGTCTAGCTGTTCATACAGGGAGAGTTACCTGGTCTTAATAGCAGGTTGCAATGCGGACAATAGATAGTTGCTCGGACGACCAAATGAGTAATGAAGGCTCCTTAATAATTGATTAAACGGCCGGCCGGTACAATCATTGACCAATCGTGAGCATTTTACCGATCTACCACGTTCATCTTCCTCCATTGTTCTCATTTTTTTGTCATCCATGTGGAGTGTCACGAGCTTGTCCAGCGCAAAATCGATCGCGTATCAGCTATGCTGATTGGCAGCGACAAACATAGATGGACTAAAACCGAATGAATGGCAGTAGTGGGTGGTAAACGCCATTGTTCTTTGTCTAAGAATCCGATTAATTATGGCCCGAAACAAATTGTTTTCAAACGTTCAGTTTCAGTTTCAGTTTGTACAACCATTAACCATTCACATTCGTGCGCCGGTTTTGGTCGCTATCTTTCAAACTTACCGTATTCTATCTTGCAAAATTGGTTTTCATAATTTTCTTACTTTTCCTTCCGAACATAGGAACGGAGAAACATTACATTGATTATCAAAATTCAATTCTTCAGGGCGGATATACAATGAGGAATAAATTATGGAATATATCACAGCTTTTGTACTTGATCGGAAGTAGAAGATTAACCCATTTTGCTGTTCTACCCTGAACGCAGACAATAGTACTCACCTTGAACGTCTCATTTGTAAACACACAAAAACAGATGACAACGCACCGGTAACTTTTCATCTTCTTGCGAGAAGGCAGCCAAAATATCAAACGCCTTCTCGGCAAATTGAACCCGTTTTGTATTGTCAAAGATGGCTAACAAATGTGCCTGAATTGCATGTGGATCGGAAGCCTGACCGAGAATTTCCAACAGTACGGGATCGGAGACAAAGAAAAAGCGTGGGAACAACAAACGTTTCCGTTCCAAATAACCGGACAGTGATTTCTGGCACAATTCCAACTGGCTGAGCAAACGAGGTAGGAGTTCTTGCAATGACTGGTCACTGGCACAACAACTGATCACATTCGGTGTGTCCCTGGCCCGTTCCATCACTTTGATCCATGTCTTATCTACACTTTGGAATCGTTTGGCCTCAGCCGGCAATTGTTTGGCAATATCACCACCGACAAACACCGCTTCCAAATAGACCCATAGATTTTGCACGCGCATCCAGGTCTCCAAAACCTCGCTGGTGGTGCTCAATTTTTGGACCCACTCCTGAATGGAATTTCGGAACGGGGCATTGTATCTACAATGGGGGGGATGAATAGATGAGCGTCTTTTAGACATTGAAGACATTCGAAATCGATGAGCTTAGTTCATCTGGTCTCTTTTGCTGTTCCATGACAATGAAAATCCATCCCCAAGTCCAGTTGGTGAGCATAAGCAGAGTGAGGATAAATGCTCATTTTGAGATGGCTGTGGCACGGGTGTATTGGTGGTAGATTTTACGCTTAGCACCCCATTAACGAAATTTCTACTATCACCCAATTTGTCTATTTAGACTACATGCGTCCAGTACAGATTGCCGAATATTCAAGCGACAAAATTGATTCCTTCTATCATGAGATCTACACCGTCTACGATGCACCCTGTCATCTGTTGATTGGTATTAAACATGCATTTCTTTGAATACCTTTGATCTACAGATCCCATAGTCACAAGTAAAGTTAAGTTGCAAACCGCTTGATTCATCCTAATCATTCGTTTGTAACGTTTGTGATACTCCTGTTGTCACCTGTAATTTAGCCATGTGGTGATGGAACTCCTGCT